TATTTAAATAACGTATGAAAAACATTTTATACATTTTTTTAAAATATATAAATAGATAATCAATCTCAATCAATATCTTATCAAATTAAGTCTCTGCACTTAATCAATATGTATTTTCTTTTTTTACAAATATAAAATAAATTTTTATACATGTTATCATAAATATAATCTCTTCAAAGTTTCTGCATAAAATCGATTATGTTTTAGGGGACGTCCGTTTTATCACCAATTATACCATTTAGTTTCGTGGTAGTACCGGCTTTTATAATATATAGAAAAAGCGCCGAGCACGTCTATGAAAATCATCCAGCATTGTATATACTTGCTTTCGGAATGGTCGCGGCCAAAGTTACAAACAGATTGGTGGTACGTATTGATATTATTTGTCTATCAATATGAACAATGTTATTTCTTATATCGTTGACTTCCAGGTTGCTCATATGACCAAAAATGAGATGCAATATTTGGACAGTTCGCTAATCGGTCCAGCTATGCTATTCCTCAATCAATACTTCAATTTTTTCATCAAAGAATACTACGTTCTATGGCTATGTTTCGTAAGTCACGCATTTGCTTTATCTTCATTTAAGACATGATTTCTCATTCGATCGCTAACTAATGGAATATATATATTTAGATCTGGGTCACTCTAGATCTCTTCCGGTATAGTGCTCAAGTGTGTCTTGAAATATGCGATCACATGAAGATCAAGCTATTTAGGATACCATGCAATCAACATACAGGCACTATCCAGGTTTCTAACGCCGCGGAGAAAAATGGTACTAATAGGTCACAACGTAACAGATTGCATAAGAAACATCATTAGGATCGACCTGGTGATAATGAATGCCCTGTATGATTCGTGTATAAAGAAATTGTGACGTAACAAAGTAAAAATGCTTGTTGAGTTGCGTATACATAAATCTTCGAATAGTACAGTTCATTTATTATCACATTTATAATTTATGATCTGTCGTTTCAGATTATAAAACAAATAACACTTGTGATTAAAGTCTTAGTTGAATTGATTAGCGATTATTACGAATTTTTAGTAAAGCGTACTATGCATCAAAGCAAGTGAGTGCCACTGGACCGTATAATAAAAACGGCACTTACTCCATACTTATAAGAAAAGAAAGTGATACATTATAATCCAGAGTGTTCGAGAAGAGGGAG